ATTATCATCATCATTATTATTATTGTTCTTGTTGTTGTTGTTCTTGCTATTATTATTATTATAAATTCCCTGCCTTTTATAATTATCTCAATCTAGTTGAGCTATGCAACATTTGGGTAAATAGTTTCAACAATGAAAAGAAACTCCACGAGGATAGTAAGACTGCCTCGCTGGATTGTTGAGTAGGCATGACACGACAAGTCTGCAATATGTCGTTCCCATTTCGCCAGAACACAACATTTTAATTTGTTCCCGTCTTGATTTCTTTTTTTTTAATTATCAAATTAACACTGTTCCTTTCTGTCATCCGGCTTTTAAATGACCAATGGTAAAGATTAATCTATAAGACGTATTATTTAACTCAAGACCCGAAAACACTGATAATAGCTTTTGCAAATTCTAATTCTATTATTCTCAGGAGGGTTTTTCTCCCTCTCCCTCGTCTATGTTTTTACACTACATTGCATAATTACATATGACTTCTAAAAATAAGCATTAATTACTCAGAGACATTTCGGCACGGCACAAGAGCCACGTTAGGAAATTAATATGTGAACGACACACTTGCGAATTATGTATTCCGTAATCCAATAGACGATCCTGCCAGCCCTCACCCGAACATCCGTCTTTCTGAATGCCGTTCTCAAATTTAGAATCATTTGACCATTGATGGTGTACACAAATCGATATCTGCCGTGTGCTCAGGTGGGCTGATAGCGTGCAGTCTGGAATAAAAACCACCAACTCTTATCAAAATTAGATGAACTGGCACACACAGCATTCTGTCTTTTGAAAATATGTTTTTATGCTTTTGAATGTAATTGCCTCCCAAGTGCATGATGCAGTACGCGTAATCAGATTTCTCTAAAGTCTTCCCCGCCAGGTTTATTTCCTCGTTTCCTAGAATAATTTATAGAAATTTGCTTCGTTACACGTTTCTTACCCCCCCTTCTGGATTTCAATCAGAACGATTTATTTCTTCTTCCAGCCTACATGTCTTGTCTGGATTAATACAGTTTGTGTGACTTTTTTAATATTTCTATGTTGAAATACGATCAAAAGTCAAATGAAACCAGATTTTTTTTCATACGTCCCTGTACATAAAGCTAAAAATTGTGATTGTGCCTGTGACACTAACAACACATTACATATACTATAATTGCACAAACAGTTCATAAATTTTATTTCAATTTGGTCTGTCCTACACAATGTTGTGAGCACTTTCATGTTAAGGCCCCAAAAGCTATAAAACAAAATTTTATTTGTTTTAGAGCTTGACTCACCGTTCGTTTGAAGTGAGTAACTCAATCTATCAGTGCTCTTTATTGGAGATAATAAAACGTTTGTTCCCTTGAATCCCCAAAGAAGGCATAAGTCTTACAACACACAATTATGACGTTGGTGTGTGCAAGGACATGCATGTCGTCAATAAACCAAATGTTGTTCCCCGAAGCAGTACGAGCAAACTCTTCTTACCTATTATGATTGTTGGATGGGGGTGGGAGGGGGTGTAGAAGAATGATTACCTAAAGGGCCCTATTCAACTCTTTTAAGGCATTCCTGGTGTTTGTTTTATGTACTTCAGCTCTGGGTGTTCGTAGAGAGTTTTCCAAAACATAACAGTGCTTGCTCCTGGGGTATTAAACACGCCACTTCTCTTTTAAACGGAATTCGTTCCATATCTTCCTCGAATCTCGTGAATCCTCTCGTTAAGTACAACACTGCGCCTCAAAATGCCTTCTTCTCACGAGAACTGACAATGTTCAATAACGGCCCCAAGCTCGACTTGCTGCTGCTGCTTTGTCTTGGGGTAGCGTCAGTAACGCCTTCTGCCTGTCTGTCTTTGACACTCTTCAGTCGCACATCGTTCTTCTTAACATACTATGGTGGTATGAACTTAGTCATTTGTGAGGTGGGTGAAGAATGTTGTTGGTGTGTGATGATATATACAGAATTTGTGATATATGGAGAGACGTGGGTTGCTTATCGAATACTTTCTTTTGAAAAAAAAGTATTGTGTGTGTGTGTGATTGTGTGTACGTGTGTGTGTTTGTGTGTGAGCGCGTGCGCGTGTGTGTGTTCCCGTCTACTTATCATCGATCTACATTCGACATAAACCCTCACTCTTCCCCCAATCCTCCCACCAAAACGTACACACGTACGAGTGAAACATCACCCTTTCGTCCCTTAATTTTCATTCGAACGGCTTGTCTTCTACGATCTAAAGACCCTTTACTCTAAAGCCTCCTCTGTACTGAAGTGTATTATGCAAGCGTAACGTGTGTGTGCGCATGTGTGTGTGTGTGTGTGTGTGTA